TTTGTTTGGGTTTTTTTTCTTTATCTTCTATGGTTTTGGCTGTATTATTCACTTGATGATGGTGTTACATTTTCCCCAACGTGTCTGCCCAAATACCTCTTCTTTATTCTTTGGTGCCTCTTTGCTCTCCCCAAGGCTGCCCAAAGGCCTCAAACTCAGTAGGAGAAGACTGCTACTGGGTGGCAGTGAAGGAGAGACACAGGAGTCAGGCCAAGTATGTCACAGAAGAGACTGGTCACTTCACAGCAAGCATCCATGGGCAGGAGATGTGGAAGAGGGTGAGGGTGAGCATCCCACCTCCTGGGCTCAAGCTGAGCAAAGAGACTGGGCACATACATGCTTGTCTCTGCCCACAAAGCCTTCTCCTTTTACTCAGTTCATCAAAAGCTTTTAGAAAGAAAAACAATGGAATTTTTGCAGTAGCCTTTTAAATGCAACAAATAACTGAGTGGAGGTTTAAATAATATTGCCATCAGTTGCAAGAATGTGCATGTTGTTTACTTACAAGGACTTCTCCACCAGCTAAATTAAATTTCCACCAAATACTTTGATCCAGCAACTTCCTATCTTCAGGACTTTTCTCTCCTTAAACTCACAGGTCCATTTCACAGAAGAAAGATGCCAGAATATGCCTATCCAGAATGAGCTACGTTTTAGAAGAAAACTTGTTCTGTGACTGCAGCATTCAGTAGTTCACATTTTATATGCCTGTTAACACCATCTACCTAGGCTTTAGAATCATGTCTCCTTTTGCACCGTCTTCACACTGAATGAATAAAACCAAGATAGGCAAATTTAGGTCAAGGTGAGTTTATTGTCCATACAGCATATCTAATCCCGCCCAAACACTTCTCTTAGAACCATCTTTAAACTAGTCAAAACAACAGGTTATTAATAAAAATGACAACACTGAACAAAGAAGACCTTTTCAAAGGTAATCAAGGCTACACTGTATTAGAGTCTTACCCATCGAAAACAATCTCGCATACTTTCTAAATACTTTTGTTTACACTGATCATGTCTACTACTGCACTTCCTAGCATCCCCTGACCATATAAACATCCACAGCTCTTAAAGAGCACGTTGTGAGAGAATAACATTGACTTGATATGGCATCACACTCAAAAAAAGCAATTTAAAAAAAAAAGGTTGAGAACAGAAACTGTGCAACTGAAAGGGATTTCTGAGGTACATGAGAACATGGTAATAAAGTGGAAAAAAATCCAGCGCCCGGGTGGTTTGCTGAGTAATTACGAGCCCTCCAATTATTCAAGCCTAAATCATTGATATTAAAATAGGATTAATAGTATTTTTCTTTTTCACAAGCATGCTGGGAATATAAATAAATTGATTACGAGGTGCTCCTACACTACAGTAATGGGAGGGAGGGGAAGATCATCGAAGCACCATCAACAGGAAGCTGACAGAGAACCACTCAGCAATTGTGCGGATCCTTTGGCACTCGTAAAGGTATCATCAGCAAGGTATGGTTTTAAATTAATCAGTAGGAAGGTTGATGATTTCTGCAATTCAGGGGAAAAAAAAAAATCTCACACCTCTTTTGCAATAGTAGTATTCACTTTTTAAACGTCTGAAAAAGGAGTACTATGCAGTGTTGTGATTTTGAAGGCTACTGTGAGAAAGCTCAAGTTCTAGGTTTTCCAGACTTCGCGTACAGCCCGTTTCAGGGTGTAAGCAGGTGGTTGGCATGTTCTGAGGAGGTCAGGGCTGCTGAGGACACTTACCCCCCGTGGTGGGTCGGTCAGACCCGCCTGGATGCCACAAGGGACCAGGGCTGCTGATCAGCACTACGACTCCTGCGCCTGCTCTGGGCCCCTCCAACCGCCACACAAGGAGCAGACCTCAGGGGTGGACCTCACCCCCATCCCTGTCAGCACTGAGGAGCCCTGGGAGAATGATGCTACAGGAGGGGATCCCTGCCTGGGAGCCGTACACTGCAGGATGTGGGATGAAGAGCAAGCATCCTAAAGATGACTCTTGCCTACACTTGACCTATTGCACAGAGGGGAGCAAACGAGGCACATGGGATGGACACTGTGCCTATGGTCACTGTGGGCAGCTGTGCCACAGCCCAGGACGCAGTGAGGGCTTCCCACCATCTGAGGACACCTCCCAGTGAAGCCATATTTGCTATCATAGGAGGGCTCTCGAGGAATGATCTGATCTGTCATATCTATGCTGCATGAAGCTCCAGACTCTCGCTTCCACAAAATTAGCTGTTTGTTTTTCCTCCAGGAGAGATAGGGTCGCTGAACTTCAGGTAATCTCAATGTGGAACATTAAGCCGGGAGGCAATGGCAGTGCTAACAATGCTATCCCCACCACCAGTTTTGTGAAACTCTGGTGAAGCTTCTGGCAGAGAATTAAGGCATTTTTTCCACTATGAAAAGGATACCAAAGCCAGCGCTCGGGCTGCCTGCAACCTCTCCCTGCCATGGCCAGAGTGTGGGCCCCGGGGAAAAAACAAACTGTCATGTTGTGAGGTATTGTGAAAATGGGAACCATTTGTGTTTTGTCCAGTAAACCTGAGGTAAGTATGCTGTCTTTGCAGGGTGTGATGGAAGGAAGGAAGGAAGGAAGGAAGGAAGGAAGGAAGGAAGGAAGGAAGGGAGGAAGGGAGGAAGGGAGGGAGGAAGGGAGGGAGGAAGGGAGGAAGGGAGGAAGGAGGGTTCGGGAATAATGAACACAAAAAAAACCTGTACAGGGCATTTCCAGTAAATCAAAGAACTCATAGTATCTCCACTTAACCATCTACTTCAGGATTTGAAATTTAAGCAGTAAAATAATATATTATAAAAATGTTTATGTTTATAAAATAGCAGCACACTCAGTGAAACAATACAGCTAAGTACTGTTAATGTGAATAAGAATGAAACAAATAATAGCTTCTTAGCAGCGCAAAAAACCCCCAAAAAAACTAAAACCAAAAAACCCCCAAAAACCAACAAAACCTTAGAATCTTACTCCATTTTCTACCCTCATCTAGCCAAATACGGCTTAGTCCATTCATATATTTTTCTAAGTAGCATGGTCTTTATGAATTTTTGTCTTAAAAATGCAAACATTAACATTTCAACCAACAGCTTCATACTGTATATTTGCAAACTGTTAATAATAAAATTGTGCAAAGAAAAAAAAAAAAAGTTGCCCCAACTCCTTTGCCATCTAAATGCCTCTTAGTTACCGACGGAGCAGAAAAATAAATTCAAGTACACTGAACACACCTTTGTAATAAACTCCAAGTCACACACCTTGATGTTTACCACTCGTGTCTTTTGCACAAGCAATTTTCTTCCGTTGTCCATAGATAAGCATGCAGGTGGTAGTAAGATCCTTCTGTGACACTGAACAATACAAATCATCAGGCTTGTATCTGGAATGTCATGACAGGAATGTCATCTGAAGCAAGTGTTGGTATTTTCAGCAACACTGACACTAACCACTTACACCAGATACTGGAAAATATTGACTATAAAGCCATATGCTTTGCTTTTGTGACCCTTTCCTTTCTTTCCCTTTCCCTTTCCCTTTCCCTTTCCCTTTCCCTTTCCCTTTCCCTTTCCCTTTCCCTGTCCCGGTCCCTTTCTCTTCCTTTCTTTTCCTTTCCTTTTTCTTCTTATTATTTTTTTCATTTTTTTCCTTGACAAAATTATCATAAACCACCTCATTTAATCCCTTAGGAACAATTTTCAAAGTGCTTTTTGAATTAAATGGTTTACAAAAACACTGTGGATCAAGGAAGTTACTGAAATGTTGAAAAAAGTGTGAAGGGAAAGGTGGATAGTAGAAGAGGGATCAAATCAAATCCCATCTTCTTTAACACAGTGAGTATATGTTAAAAAGGAAGATCAACAGAGCATCACTTAAATATCTTTATGGCCAAGCTAAGGAGCTGCCAAAAAATTAACACTTATGTGAAGCATTAGCACTGTAAGGAAATATAATGCTTTTCACAGATGATCCACAGCATCTTGCAATCCAAAGGTCAGAGGTGATCTGATTAACCAAATGGTTGGAATTAATTGGTATTACCCCCATCTAATGTGAACACTCAATAACTTTGGCTTGGTCCACAGTTGGGTAAATGGAATTGCCCTTATGCCAGAGACACCACCGTGTTTAGAATGAACCATCTCTGAAGGAAAAGTAGAAGTCAAAAGGGGAGTGGGGAATTTGGAAAAGAAAAAGGAAGGAAAGGAAGGAAGGAAAGAAAGGAAAGGAAGGAAGGAAAAGAAGGAAAGGAAGGAAGGAAAGGAAGGCCCCAAAACAAACAACCAAAACAAAAAAAAACCCCACCTGCTCTTCTGGCTGGCAAAATAAAGCATCTTCTTTCTTAGGTAGCAGCTACCACAGACAGCAGGAGTAAACAAAACTAACATACAGAGATCCAACAAACACTTCTGACTAATAACAGAGGTGACAGATCAGCAAATCTCTTCTGCATTCAAAATGGTTCAATTGCTTCAGGGACCATTTCCCACTTTGCCCTAAAACCCTTATTCTATTGCTTTGCAATCTAGTCAAGCCATAAAATCGCACACACGATTCCTTTCTTAAATCTAAAAAAGGGGTGTATGCACTAGATCATAATACACAGACAAATATACTCTACTTTGTTCCCACAGATGCAGCTTTACATTTATCCAGCTGCTTTATATGCTTTTATAAGCATTTAATATCACTGATACATAATCAAATAGCAATTATATTGTGGGATTCCCTTCTGTAGAACATCACAGGCACAAAACGTGGGTTTTTTTTCATTATTAAGTGTTTTGTTTCAGTTTTTTTGTTTTGTTGGTTGTTGTTTTTTGTTTTGTTTGTTTGTTTTGTTTTGTTTTTTACCTAAAAGAGCTTTAAATATGTTCTATGTGGGAGCAAATATATATAAAAAAAAAAAAGAAGATATGTCACTCTAAAAATAGTAACAAAAATAAAAATGCTGAAGGGAGCAAGCGTGACTTTCTGTGCTGATGTCCTCACAGGTTGATATCTCTCACATCTGTGGGAGTGCTGGCCTGGTCCAGTTCATCCATGGTCTTAGGATTGCTTTGCTGCTGCTGCTGCTGGACTTGCCTAAGGCTCGTTACTAGCACCGCCTCGATCTGTTCTTGACAAGCTTTAAGGCAATCCTAGAGGACAGAAAGCAAATGGATCTGTTAGCAGAGACAGAAAGGTTTTTTCCTTACTGAGCTGGCAAACACTGGAAGAGCATCAACCTGGTATTCCCAAGGAGCATCTGCTGTGACAGAAAACCAGCGTGAATTCTCACAGGCAATCACTGGGCACAAACTCCCTGAGTTAAAAACTGTTAATGCCATATTTATTAGTCTCGAAATCTTAATATCTTACCTGTTCTTGCTCATTTGTGTGGTCTTCTTGTGCAGGAACCAAAAGTGTGGCAAAAATAAAGGGCAGGTATATGAATTTTTCCATTTCTCTCTGAAGGGTTAAGTGACTTAGGAGGGTCTTCACTGCAAAAAAGCTGCATTTTTCTTATGAAATAACAAACGTGCTATACCAAAGCCACACAGACAGAGTCAAGTGAATTGATGGTAAATCAAAGTGAAGAAGTTTTGAGGTCCCTGAAAAAGCACAGTGCTCTGTCACTGAGTTTTTAATCAGTCACACATTTGGCTTCCCAAGGCAAAAGCAAAAGGAGGGTCTGTTTATCTGTGAAGATGCGTGCAGGGGGAATGAATGTTGCAGCCCTAAACACACAGCCATGTTATCCTGCTATGAGCACACTCCAGAGAAGAAAAGTGATTTCAGCAGCAGAGGAGGAGTAGGAGGTGCAGGGTATGTTCCAATACCTTCTCTCTGGGAGAAAGACTATTTTACTAGCCACAGGAGTGGTTACTGGCAATAATTCACAGAAGACATTCAAGCAAGGACAGCTACTAGAAAAGTTTTAAGTAAAAAATGCACAGCCAAGCCTCAGAGACCACTACATTACAAATTATACTACACAACACTTGGAGAAAAAGCAGGATACAGTACAGCTACACAAACTTGAGAGCCCTGTACAGCAGGAGTCCTGCAGTGAAGTAACAATAAACAAATACATGTGAAGGATTCACCCCACTTAAACCAGAAGATGACTACTAATATATTACAGGATGTTCCCCATCCTTGATAATATGCTGCAAGATCAAACACTATGTATATTATAAAAAAAAAAAAAAAAAAAAAAAAAAAAAAAGGAGAAACATTGATAAACACCTGGTTATAGCAGGAACTGAAAAATAAAACTAATGTCATGACTGTGTAACAGAATGCCAAGCATGTGCAGTGCACAGGGACTGCAAGAGCATCAATATGACACATTAACTGGGTTTCTCTAGAAGCAGCCCCATGGATTACTGGAAAAGGTATTGATACTGCTCATTAACAGCTGGGTAAAAAAAAAAAAAAAGCGTGAGAAACATTGATAAACACCTGGTTATAGCAGGAACTGAAAAATAAAACTAATGTCATGACTGTGTAACAGAATGCCAAGCATGTGCAGTGCACAGGGACTGCAAGAGCATCAATATGACACATTAACTGGGTTTCTCTAGAAGCAGCCCCATGGATTACTGGAAAAGGTATTGATACTGCTCATTAACAGCTGGGTCTCTCCCAAAATCTTCAGGTGGTTTCAGTAGCAGGGGTTTTACAGCAGAGTATTTTAGCCAGAGCCCTGGCAGGGGTGGCGAGACCCAGTATCACCATTCCCACTTTCGTGTAGGATTGCTAAAGAGCAGAGCTGGACACTCATGTCCACGGGGTCTCATGGGCACTTGTGTCCACCTTGGAACCCAGTATGGAATGCAACTACAGCTCTGGGGAGCCGGGCTCTGACCAGCAAAACACACTGCCTCCGTGCAATAGCAGGTTATTCAGGAGAGTTTGAAATGTTCATGTATGGATGTTTAATTTGTCATTTTAGCGAGACTCTGAAAACACATCAAATGCAGAGTATCTCTTTCACTGACAACATCTACGTTTGTGATGGGCACAGTCAGCTCTGGTGGTTCATGAACATCCATTTTTCTTGGCTACTGACCAGCATATGCTAGCTGCAAAACCATGTCCTTTCCTTGCTGTGAAACCAGCTTAACACAATGAAGCATCACAACCTTTCTCTGAAGGTGTATCTGCCAAAGGGAGGCCATAAGAAATGGCTTTTCAAAAGGACCAGGGAAAAGGGCATTGATGAGACGCTTGCTGTATTCAGTGATGAGGCTCACACTAGCTAAAGGCAGAGTGAGATGCCACTGAAATTTGCTGATTGTCTGTGCTACTCATGTACAATCTGATTCAGAAGTTTGTTCCCTCCGATTGGTAACACCCCAGTGAAAGAGGCAGGGTGACACAAAAAAACCTCTACTGCAACACTGTGTGCATGTGGTGGGCAGACTAAGCCTTCCCCATGTTTGCCTTTTGTCATGAGAGACTGTGGGACTGCCCCTCAGAAAGGTGCTGTGGTCAAGTTAGCTGGCTTGCAGCCATACATCACCTACCCCAACACAGCAGCACTGCAAGCAACACCTGTCATGGCTAGAAACTTTCCCAAGTTTCAGTCACTGGAGCTAAACTTTCCCACAGTTTCTCCTCTGCCTCAGACTGGCTTTTTTAAGGAAGAGGAGAAACCACAACAACAACAAAGTGCCTGTTGTGTCCAAGGACAGCTGATTTTACCAGCATCAGCCAGCTCTTAACCAAAGTTTCCAATTGCTGTTGGGTTGGGAAGATTAAGTATAATTTTATAATTCAGCATGGCACATGGAGGGGTGGTCAGATACCTTTTGATATTCTCAAGAAATGCAGCCCAAGATTAGCCAAGATACATGGCTCAAAAAACTGCATACTGCATTAAATTCAGAGCCCTGATGATTGAGGAGGTCTGTGCATTGGAGGAAGGTACCCACCTCTTTGCCTCTAAGCCTGGCTGAACATAGCAGAGTCCCTGCAGGGGTGCACAGGAGTTACCTGCCAGCCCAGGAACCTATGCTTCCTTCCTCTGGAAACTAGATTATAAGAAAAATTGTATCTATGTGCCATGACACTGGCACAGAGTCAGAATACCAATGAAGCATGATGCCAAAGGAAGCTGGGACACAAAGAGATTGTTAAAGGCGGCCTGGGGAGCACTGAACACTGAATTAACGTGACTGGCTGTATAGGCTTCTTGTCTCAGGGAGCACAACACACTGCTCCTGAGCTCCAGCAGGCACCAGTGTAGCCCACAATACAGCAAGAGAGTGCTGCAACCTGCTCTTGGTCACACCAGTTCTTGCCCATACCCTGGAATGACTCCTGCATCAGGTGTATTGCAGAGATCACCTTGAGCTCTTTCTAGCCACCTCTAGATTGTGCCCGGATTTCCCTCACTCCTGTACTTCATCCCAACGTTCTATGAGCAGAAATGATTCTCCTGGAAGATCTGAGATACCTCATGAGCACCACCACTGCATTGTCACAGGCAGTGAGTAATCACAATCATTTGCAACCACTAAATAACTGCAGGGCTCAGAACCGTGGAGCAACCGAAAAATGATGTCAATTCAGCA